TAGTATAGTTTGAAGTCTGGGAGTGTGATGCCTCCATTCCCTTCTTTTTTTTTTCAGGAGAGCTTTGGCTATTCGGGGTTTTTTTGTGATTCCATATGAATTCATCAATAATTGTTCTATTTCTTTGAAGAATGACATTGAAGTTTTGATTGGAATAGCATTGAATCTGTATATTGCTTTTGGAAGGATGGCCATTTTAATAATGTTTATTCTTCCAATCCATGAGCAGGGGATGTCTTTCCATTTCTTTGTGTCTTCTTCTATTTCTTTTAACAGTGTTTTATAGTTTTCTTTGTATAGGTCCTTTACCTCTTTTGTTAGATTTATTCCCAAATATTTGATTTTTTTTGTTTCAATAAAAAAAGGGATGGTTTTTTTGATTTCTTCTTCTTCAGATTTATTGTTTGTGTATAGGAAGGCTACTGACTTTTGCGTGTTGATTTTGTATCCTGCCACTTTACTGAACTGATTGATGAGTTGAATTAGTTTTTCTGTGGACTTTTTGGGGTTCTCTATGTATATTATCATATCATCTGCAAATAGTGATAGTTTGACTTCTTCTTTTCCTATTTGGATTCCTTGGATGTCTTTCTCTTGTCTTATTGCTCTGGCTAGGACTTCCAGTATTATATTGAAAAGCAGTGGTGAGAGTGGACATCCTTGTCTTGTTCCACATCTTAATGGAATTGCTTTCAGCTTTTCACCATTGAGAATGATACTGGCTGTTGGCTTGTCATAGATGGCCTTTATGATGTTGAGGTATGTTCCTTGTATCCCAAGAATTTCAAGGGCTTTTATCATGAATGGGTGTTGCACTTTGTCGAAAGCTTTCTCAGCATCTATTGATATTATCATATGGTTTTTATATTTCTTTTTGTTGATGTGTTGGATAACGGTTGATTGATTTTCGATGTTAAACCATCCTTGTGTCCCTGGAATGAATCCTACTTGGTCGTGGTGAATTATCTTATGGATGCATTGTTGGATTCTGATAGCTAAAATTTTATTGAGGATTTTTGCATCAGTGTTCATTAGGGAGATTGGCCTGTAGTTTTCCTTTTTTTGTGTTGTCCTTGTTTGGTTTTGGTATTAGTGTAATGTTGGCTTCATAGAACGTGTTTGGTATTGTCCTTTCCTTCTCAATTTTTGGAAGAGTTTGTGAAGGATAGGCACTAATTCGTCTCTGAATGTTTGGTAGAATTCATTTGTAAATCCATCAGGTCCCGGGCTTTTGTTTTTGGGGAGGTTTTTGATTACCATTTCAATTTCGCTGCTTGTAATTGGTCTGTTTAGGTGTTCTTATTTCTTCTTTATCTAGCTTGGTGATTGTAGAGTTGTAGGAATTTGTCCATCTCCTCTAGATTGTTAAACTTGTTTCCATATAACTGTTCATAGTAGTTACTGATATTCTTTTGATTTCTTCTGTGTCCGTTGTGATTTCTCCTCTTTCATTGATGATCCTGTTATTGTGCTTCTCTCTCCCTTTTTCCTTTGTGAGCCTGGCTAGGGGTTGTCTATTTTATTGATTTTCAAAAGAACCAGCTCTTGGTTTCATTGATCTTTTGGATTGTTTTTTTAGTTTCAATTTCATTTATTTCTGCTTTTGTTTTTATATTTCTTTTCTTCTACTGGTATTGGGTTTTTTTGTTGTTCTTTTTCTAGATCTTTGAGCTTCGAGATTAGGTTGTTTCTTTGAGTTCTTTCTTGTTTCTTGATGTGAGCTTCTATTGCTATATATTTTCCTCTTATTACTGCTTTTGCTGCATCCCATACATTTAGGATATTGGTGTCCCTCCTTGTCGTTCAATTCAAAGAATTTTTTTAATTTCTTCTTTGATCTCCTCATTAGTCCAGTGGTCTTCCAGTAGTGTGATTTTTAATCTCCATGAGGTAGGAAAGTTCCTTGCCTCTTTTTATGGTTTTATTTCTAGTTTGATGCCTTCATGGTCAGAAAAGATGGTTGATATGATTTCAATCTTGGTGTATCTGTTGATGTTTGTCTTGTGCCCCAGTATTGATCGATCCTGGAGAATGTTCCGGTGTGCGCTTGAGAAAATGTGTACTCCGTTTTTTGGGGGTTTAGTGTTCTATAGATGTCTGTTAAGCCCAATTGCTCTAGGTCCTTATTTAGAGCTTTGTTTTTCTTTACTTATTTTTGTTTGTTGATCTATCCATTGTTGATAGTGGTGTGTTGAAGTCTCCCACTACGTATGTGTTTTCTCTGATGTCTGTTTCAGAGAGGATAACAGTTGTCTGATATATTTTGGTGCTCCTTCGTTTGGTGAGTATAATGTTAATGAGTGTTATTCTTCTTGAAGTATTTGTCCCCTTGATCATAATTAGTGACCATTGGGATCTCTTTTTATCTTTTGAGTTTGAAATCTGTCTTATCTGATATAAGTATAGCTGTTCCTGCTTCTTTTTTGGTCCATTTGCTTGTAGGATTGTTTTCCATCCTTTAACTTTGAGCCTATTTTTTATCTTTTGTAGCTAAATGTGTTTCCTGGAGACAGCAAAAAGGTTGGGTTTTTGTTTCTTAATCCAGGGCAACCTCTGTGTCTTTTTTATTGAAGAGTTTAGTCCCATTTACATTTAAGAGTTAATATTGATATGTTAGCATCTGTATTTGCCATTGTGTTGTCTTTCCTTTGATTTTATTTATTTATTCTTTTAAATAACTTTTTTTTTTTTGCCTTCTTTCATTGTTATTCGTCCCCTGAGTTCTGGCTTTAGGATCCCTTGTAGTATTTTTTGGAGTGGGGGTTTAGTGCAATGAAATTCCGGAGTTTCTGTTTGTCTGGGAAGGTCCATATTCTTTCTTCAAAGAGAAAGGAGAGCTTTGCGGGATAGAGAATTCTTTGGTTGGCATCTGTTTTCTTGGAGTCTGTTGACTATGTCCCTCCACTCTCTCCTTGCCCGTAGTGTTTCTTCGAGAAGTCTGATGTCAGCCTGATTGGCTTTCCTTTGAATGTTATCTGTTTCTTCCCTCTTGCCAGCTTCATTATTTTTTCCTTGTCCTGGATTCTTGTGAGCTTTACTATTATGTGTCTTGCTGTATTTTTTCCTTCGTCGTGGAAGTGTTGGTGTTCTTCTTGCTTCTTGTATATCAATTTTCAGCTCCTTCTTCACATTGGGGAAGTTCTCTTTCAATTATCTCTTTGAATATTTTCTCTGTTCCTACATCTCTCTCCTCTCCTTCTCGTATTCCTATAACTCTTATATTTCCTTTCCTCATGGAGTCAGATAGT